CTTCCGTCTGAACACGAGGAAAACTTCTTTCCTGTCAGGGTGACAGAGCACTGGCACAGGTTGTCCAGAGAGGCTGTGGAGTCTCCTTCGCTGGAGATGGCCTGGACACGATCCTGTGTAAGGTGCTCTAGAGGACCCTGGTTGAGCAGGGGGGTTGGCCTAGATGACCTCCAGAGGTCCCTGCCAACCTCAGCCGTTCTGGGATTCTGTGTTTACTGCTCATCGAATGCACGTGACACCATAGAAGGACATATAAAACATGTCAACGTTTCACACTAATACCCGAAATTCAGTAAATAGCTAAAGGAACAAAACGAAGGATAAGCTACAGCTGTCAGTCGTAACTGTCTCTGGGGTTGTGCATCTCTGACCCGTTCTCCCTGCGATAGCGGCTCTGTAACCTGACCCCTCTCTCTGTTTTGAAGTGGGATCCCATGATCACTACTCTGCCTGGCCTGTACCTGCTCTCGGTTGGGATAGTGAGGCCTGCGGCGTGGCTCTTTGGGTGGACCGGAAGCATCGTATGCTCTACAGGGATGCTCAGGTTTATTAACCTCCTTTTCAGTGCTGGAAACTTCTATTTACTGTACTTGCTTTTGTCCAAGATGCATCCGAAAAATAAGGTACAGTTCAAGTGGAATAATTTTCTGCACTAGTGCAAACAATTTTGGTGACTCTACATATGCCTCTTTTATTAGATATTTGAGTTATCTTCAGTTTTTATGTGGCTACAAGTATCACTACCAGTTTGAGTCAGGGAGGTGCGTTTCTTCTCTCCAGAAACAATCTTTTTTCTCCCTCTAAGGGTGTGATCCTCTAAAGACGTACCCTTGCACATGCCTGTAAACAGTTTAGTTGAAATAAAACATAAAGTTAATATTCATAGGGACTTTTTATCTGAAGGAGTGAATGCTCATCTAGTTGGAATTGCTTAAGGCTTGCCATAAAACTTCACCCGCTGATTCCTCAACGAAGCCCAATGAGCTGTGTTTGAGCAAAAATGTGTTTTTTTAGAAAGATACCAAATTTGATGTCAAGATTTAGAATTATAGGATAATTAGGCTGGAGGGGATCTCAGGAGGTCTGTAGTCCAGCCCCCTGCGCAAAGCACGGTCAGCTCTGGGGTCAGAGCAAGCAGCTCAGGGCTTTATCTAGCTGGGTCTTGAAAACCTTCCAAGGATGGAGAGCAACTGTGCAACCTCTCCAGGTAGCCTGTTGCACTGCTGGACTGGCCTCGTGGTGAAAGAGTTTTTCCTTTCATCCAATTTGAAGCGCTCTTGTTTTAATTTATACCTGTTGTCACTTGTCGGCCCACCGTGCAGCGCTGCAAAGAGCCTGGCTCCCTCTTCTTCTTAACCTCCTCATAAGTATTGTCAGGCTACTCTTTGGTCCCCCCGAAACCATCCCTTCTCCAAGCTGAACAAGCCCAGCTCCATCAGCTTCTCCTCACAGGGCAAGTGCTGCAGTTCTCGACCATCTTGGCAGCCCTCCCCCCTCACTCCAGTTTATCAAAGTCTTTTCTTTTTGTTATTATTATTGGGAATGCCCAGAACTGGACATAGTATTCTAGATGTGGTCTAACAAATGCTAACAAAGTGGGAGAATCGCTTGGTTGATCAACTGGCCACAATTCTGCTAATGCAGCCCAGAAGGCTGTTGCCTCTCCTTGCTGCCAGGAGATGCTGCTGCCTCATGTTCATCTCTCTGTCTGCTCAGACTCCCGGGTCCTTTTCCACAGAGCTGCTCCCCAGTCACTCTGTCCCCAGCCTGAACCATTGCAGTAGGTTCTCGCTTTCTAGCTGCAGGGCCTTGCATTTTCCCTTGCTGAATTTCATAAGGTTTCTGTTACCCCATTCCTCCAGCTTGTCTAGGTCCCTCTGGATGGCAGCTCTGCTCTTCAGTGTGTTGCCTCATCCCCCCAGTTTGGTGTCATCTGCAAACTTGCTGAGAGTGTGCTTTGTTGTTGTCTCCAAGTATAAAGATGTTAAACAGGACAGGTCCCAGTAGAGACCCCTGTAGTACCCCTCTAGTTACCAGCCTTCAGATAGAATATGACCCATTAACTGAGCCTAACCAGCTAACTAGTTTTCTACCCATCTAGTTGTCGATCCACCCAGACCATAACAGTTGAACTTGGATATGAGAATATTGTATGTTTAAAGTGATGGATCATCAACCCTGTTGCAGGTAAATTGATCCAGCAGTTAATGGCTTATTTCAGCTTAGTTTGCTGTCTTTAGTTTCACCTTTAAACTGTAAGTACATTTTTTGCTATTCACTGGTATTCCATCATTATAAAGAAAATGTCTTCTGATGTAGATTACAGAGGACTCTACATGCTTAAGTGCTTGATGGAACTGTACAGAACTGGGTCAAAATCAGTAAAATGTTTCCTCTTTTGGAATGCTTTTAATTTTATATTTGGAAGTGGAAATAGAAATGTAAGAAAAAAAAAAAGGTTTCTTGGCTGTAGTATAAGCGTTACAAAACGTACTTGCGTTGTTGTCACTTCCTTGAGCTTTGAGCATTTTCTCTATTTCTGTTTTCAATTTGGTGGTGACTGGCTGTTTCATCCCACGCTACATCATTCAGAACCATCATGCAGCAGTTTTTAGTGCTGTGAATTACATTGCATCTTGCAGTGAGTGGGATAATTGGGAGGAGTTTTTAACTGTATGATCTTGTACCTTCTTTAAAGTTTCTTTTCTAACTCATGAATTATAACAAAAATAAACAACAAAAGCTGCACCAAAGGTTAGAAGCTTAACTGGCCCACCTGTGGGCTGGCTTCAAAAGAGGCAATAGTGCAAGCACAGAATGATGTGTTCTAGTGTGTCACAAATAAATATAATCTAATGACGTGATTGCAGGGGCATGCAACACTGAAAACAAATTTTTTTCTTTTCTTTTGCCCATTAATGCAACTCGCTTATCATAGGTGTGAGAGCAATTATACTCCCACAATGACTTTAATGCTACAAATATGTGAACATCTGAGATATGGAAGAAGCTGATGTATTTTCTTTGCCATATTTTTAACTCACCAGCAGTTACGCTTCTTGATTTCGTTTGTCTCTTAGCATTTTATTGTCCTGCACTCTATGTTAACGTAACGGGCGGTTTACAAAAATGTAGCTTGCGTGCTAGTGCACTAATGGAATCAATGAGCAAAAGAGACATTATATTGTGATAATGGGATTCTGAAGAATGATACCCTTTGGGTTTTTTTGGTTTTTATTGGATATTACTAATTGCATTTTTTTTGCTTCTTTTCTAGGCTGTATCTGGTTTCCAGAGAATCTTGTCTACATTAACTCTTGCAATATTTCCCACCCTTTATTTTTTTACATTCCTTTATTATACGGACCCAGGATCAGTATTTTTTACTCTCTTTTCATATTTAATGTGCCTTTATGGTAACCATAAGGCTTCAGCTCTGCTTGGATGTTGTGGCTTCATGTTTCGTCAGACAAATATTGTATGGACGGTTTTTTGTGCAGGAAATGTAGTTGCAGAAAAACTAAATGAGGCCTGGAAGACAGAGTTACTGAAAAAGAAGGATGAAAAGATTTCTTCCATGAAAGGATCATTTTCAGATCTGATCAGAATTTTCCAGTTTGTTATTGAATACCTCATATTACCTCAAAACTTAATTACGCTTATTGCTTTAACTTGGCCATACATCATATTAGTAGTTGTGTTCTTTGCTTTTGTGTTCATCAATGGCGGAATAGTTGTTGGTGACAGAAGTAGCCATGAAGCCTGTTTGCACTTTCCTCAGCTGTTCTATTTTCTGTCGTTTACTCTCTTTTTTTCCTTCCCCCATTTATTGACCCCTACTAAAATCAGGAAGTTCCTTCTGACCTTACGGAAGCACCCAGTGCAGTACAGCTTAATTGCTGTCATCTCTTTATTCCTGGTCTGGAAATTTACCTATGTTCATAAGTATTTACTAGCAGATAACAGACATTATACTTTCTATGTCTGGAGAAAAGTCTTCCAAAGACATGAGCTTGTAAAATACCTGTTAGTTCCAGTCTATATATTTGCTGGCTGGAGTTTTGCTGATACCTTGACATCAAAATCAATATTCTGGATTTTAATGTATTTTGTATGTTTATTTGCTGTTACAGTTCCTCAAAAGTTGCTAGAATTTCGTTACTTTATTTTGCCGTACTTAATATATAGGCTCAATATTCCATTTCCATCTCTTTATAGACAACTTATTGAGCTGGCTTTTTATATTTTTGTGAATGTAGTGACTTTTTATCTTTTTTTAAACAAAACATTCCAATGGCCAAATAGTGAAGAAGTGCAGAGGTTCATGTGGTGATTTTTTTTTTTTTTTTTTTTGGTACCTTTATACCTGTAGGAAAACTCAGTTCTTTTTCAGGACTGTAGACCCTGGAATAAAGTAGCGTGTATTACATTATGTAAAAAAAAATTTCCCCAGGAGAAATCAGGGAAAAAAAATCAATGGATTGCTTATATTCTTGGAACTGAATGTGAGATCTGATATGTGAAGATACTAGATTTACTGAATTTATGAGGTCCTAGAGTTAAAGTCAGAAGTAAGGAAATTTCAGAAAACCTTTCTGTAACTAATGTGAAATGAGATGTTTACAATCATATTTCATGATAATAATATAATCTGTAGCATACTTTTGAAGATATTTCAAAAGATATTTCAGTTTATAAGTAATGTTTTGGAGGTTTGCTTTAAAATAAAGTATTTAAGTGTTTAACCTTTTCATTACCTCTGGCTGCATATTTACTCCTCAGCACAGGCCATTTCCATCTATGTCTGCTAAAGGTCAAGGTATGAAGCCTTACTGCAGACTAAAGTTTTCAAAAACACCTACATCCTAATGGGTTTTCATGAGTTTTTGGTCTGTAAATGCTTACGTTAGTTCTGCAAACAGAATGTAGGCTCTTAAATCATTAGGACGTTTTGCAAATTTTATTTCAAACTGATACTTAGAAAATAGAGTGAAGACTATGTGCATGTTCCTTCTTTTGGGGGAATAAACATTATTATACAACAAAAGATAAATTGCAGTTGATAATGTGACCTATTAGAAGGGGAGTAATTTATATGTGCCAGGCTGAAACGTGTCATTACACAGTAGAATACAGTATAATGAAAACCCTTTTAAATAATAAGGCTTTTATGGCCTGAGGTCCTATGTTCACAGGTTTGTATTGAAGCAGGATGTGAGTACGCTCCGAAGTTGGAGTGTTTCTAAGATCGTTGACGTGTAATCTTAAAAATATACTAATGGCATTACTGTATTGTTCTTTTAAATGTTTTTCATATATATACACACTAGGCAGTTTACATTCCTTTTTACAAAGGTAAAAATACAATGTATATGAATTTTTAAAGCATCTAGTGCATTATTTTCTGAAGGAAAGAAAGTTCCCTTCAGTAAATGACTTTAATTAGGCTTGAAAATATTTGATCACTTCCAGATAGCTATTAAGTAGCTTTATAAATATAACTGAATTACGTGTGTGTGGCAGAGGGGAATTCAAAACCTCATAAACTGTGTAGTGTCTCAAAGTTCGTTCCTCTTGCCTAGCTGGCTTTATCAAGTTGAAGAGACAAGAAACTTTGTATTGGGTTGCTTTTCAGGAATCTGGCATGGTTCTTGCAGAGTCGAGGACATTGTCTTGTGCTGTGCTTTTAGTAGGACAGATTTTGTGGGGCAATCTTGCATGCCTTCTGCTTCTACCTTTGTTTTTGACTACCATTCAGATAAAACAAAAACAAGATAAATATGCACATGCATGTTTTACTGCAACTTTATATGTGCACTCAAATTTTTGTATTGAATGAACTGGAATGGCGACATGGGAGACAGGTGGGGTTTCTGGCTAGGATCCTGAATTGTTTTCTAGATCTTTTTTTTTATTATTTTTTTTAATTCCCTGAATTTGTAGAGGAGCAAGAGTTCCCTTGACAAGATGCAAAAATTATATATAGTCCACAATCGTTTTGATTTGTCCAAGATGGCTGTTGATATTGGTATCTGAATGCCTTAGATTATATACATTGCTAAGAAAATGACTGTGTTTGTGCCTTGTCCTTATTCTTAACTGAGATAGCAACAGTGTTTCAAGTAAAAAGAATTGAGTTTAAATATATACTATTTTAATGCGACTGTGCAATTCTCTTGTAAATAAAAGTGACTGCAAGACAGAAATCCCCCAAAACTTAGAGCACAATACCTTTCTGAAGAGCCCCGTATCACAAGATAGTAGAAAAATTACATGTAGAGAGGTGTCTGTGAAGTTCTTTAAAAGAAGGAAGATTATTAGCTGGCATAATATTTTATCACGGGAATTATCAGTGTAATGATTTATTTCGATTTAACAGTACCGCTACTCTCATTGTATTTTGCTAATTTAAAAACAGATGGGGTTGAAATATGCTAAAGAATGAGATGGAACATAATTTAGCCTGATTCTGTTTCAGAAATGAAGATGGTTGTAATTACATCATAATTAGTCATGAAGAAAAGTCTCCAAACTTAGTGAAAGTAAAAGTCTCCAAACTTCATCAATCTCTTTTAAGAATTTGGCAAATATCAGTAGCAGTGACATTGTTTAAATTTAGATATGAGAATTAGTTAAACATACTTCAAAATCTTGGAGAGTGTCTCTCTTGGAAAATTAGTCTTAGTATTTTGCTCCTGAAATATTTCCACTGTAATTGTTTGTAATAGCAAATACTTATTAACCATTCATCTTGAGGACATGCAAAAGGGACTATATTTATCCTGGTTTATGTTGCGAAAGGTCTTTTCCATCGTCAAAGGTCTTTTCTAGTTTCAATAGAACTGATTGCTTACTTTAGGTTAACTCCTCAACTGGTGTAATTTGGCAGTGAAATTACTAATAGTAGCATTAAAACAATAATTTGCTGTAGCTTTTATTAATCAACTGTCCATTTAGAAAAAGTCGCATTGATTTGTTGAAATGTAACGTGCAAAATGAAAACAAAAATAGTGCAGGTAACGTTTCTGTAATCGTTACTTAAAAATGAAGGCTCTGATTCAACTTTTCTGAAACAGAAAATAAAAAACGATTTTTTGGTAATTGTCAGAAGAATCAAAATAGAGGACTGCACAGCCACGGTGTGGTTGATTTATTTTGAGGTCAAAAAATATGCGAAAAATCATTTAACACTTTTTTTTTTAGTTAAAATAATGGGTGGTTATTTGGGAAGACCTAAAGATTGTTTCTTTGCGGCAGCAACATCATCTAATCCTGTATGCGGTAAAGCGTATTTTCTGTTATTTGTGGGTGTTCTGTACTTTTTCAGTTCTCTGAGGTTCTTTGTCAGCACTCCAACGTGCATGTTGAAAATGAGCACGAGTTTTACACTGCAAGCGATATGTGCATGCTGAAATCCTCCTCATCTGTGACTTGGTTGTGAGTGGATGGACTAAGTTTTGTTTGTTTGTTTGTTTTTTAATGACAGATTACTTCTGTGAGAAACTATTTCAGGAAAAAGTCTATAGCACAGCTAATGTTGTCCTGGTAAGGCAGATTCGAGCTTTTTCACAAGATGGCAGTCTTGTGCCGCCGTGCTTAACGTAATGCTCTGTGAAATCACAGCATCAGGGTTTTTTAGCCAGAGTATATTCTGAGAATTAGAAAAGTTCAAGTTCTGTCGTGGGTGATTGCGTATTTTGGTAACTGGTTCAGCTGAAATATCCTTGTATTTAGTCTTAAACTTATATTTTGTTATATTTTAAAAGAAGCACAAGTTTTGGTTATCTTTTGAAGTATGTTCTATATTTTGAGTAAAATTGTTATTTCTGTTATTTGTGGAATTTTTGTGTTTGGTGTTAGAGAACCAAATGAAACTTGAAAGCTTACTGTTGAAGTAATGTCATTATTTTAAACAGTGTAGTTAGTTGCCTAGAAAGTTAAGCAGGTTTCTTTCTCTTGTTTTATTGTTAACTTCCACTGCATTCTTAATTTGTTCACCTATTCATTCTATTCATAGCTGTATGAGAAGGAAAAAAGTATTTGGAGGACAAATCGAGGTCCTCAAGGTAAAGCAAAGTAGTTAAACTTTTGAGACCGGCGCACATGGTGATTTTCTAAAACATTCACTTTTTATTTTCAGTTGGTTGATGTAAATATGAAATACGAATATTCAGATGTCTGTGAGCTGTATAGTAGTTGACACTGTATCTTAAACATGTCCTCTAGTTTTTGTGTAATGAAAAGGTGTAAAGCCAGAGGCTCTATGGAAGTAAACGTTTCCAATTATCCCCATTTTTTTCTGTATATTAGCAATGTTAATTTCTTTTTCCTTGAAAAGCTTTACTTTCCTTGCTTACTAGTGTTAGTGTTTGCTTTTCATTCAGTGATGTTGGTATGTCAGCTGAGACATCAATCTCTCTCACAGACAAACACCTTTCTTAAAAGCAAACTGCCGATGGATCGAGAAAATTGTTTTGTTTCTAGCTCATCATTTTATGGAAAAAAAAGAACCTCTCCAGGAGGCAGAAATGCTCACCTTGGCAGCAGGGTGTAGCAGAAATGCTCCTAATTTGTGAGTTTTTGTCACTGGGCTTTGTGCTTAATCATAGAACATGCTCAGGACTTAATGCTCTTCCCTTAGCTCCTGGGATAGTTGGGACATCAGGAGGAGAAGGCAAAAGATTTTTGCAGGAAATTGCTGCCATAGCCAGTGTACATAATGCTACCAAAAGAAGAAGTGAATGGAGGGGTTCTGAGGTTTGGGGGCACCGCTGTATTTAGCAGTGCACTGTGGTTTGATAAAGTATGTTGTGATACAGAAGACCTGTCATGTATGAGTGAAAATGTCTTCTCTACCAGGAAGGAAGCTTTTTTTTTTTTTTTTTTTTTTTTTTTTTTTTTTACTAAAGTCAGCTTGATCACTGTGAGAATGCTCTTGTTTGAAACTTGGAAACTAATTGGTTTATCAGAAGATGTTTCTTGTATTTAGATGCGGCTCTATAAATAAAACCTCTGTCCTTATTGTTTTCAAGTGATGTTGTGAGCTTATTTGAATTGCAACTATATATCATTTGTGGAGAGAGGTTGCTTTTGTTTCCAGATTTTCTTGCCCAGGTACTCTTGTGTTTTTATAAAGTAAAAATTGTTATATCTTAAAAAAAAAAATTAAAATGGTGTCTTCCAGTGTGCTTTATTTCCTGATTTTAAGTAGATGTAAATTAATGCACAATCCATTTGACACCAGTTGTTATGAACTCATATTAACAGTAGCCCTGTACATCTTTTCAAAGATGTAATTGCAAAAGTTTGTGTCCTTAGCTACCTCCAGATCTCCTCTAATGAGATTAGATTTCCATGTTTTCGTATCAGCTCTCCTAGAAGTATTGTCATAGAAATAATCTTGTGAATATACAATGCAAAAGAAATGGTTATGGTGATTACCGCTGGCAGAGCTTGTAATTTTAGGGCACTGCTTCAGCCTTTCAGGTTTAATACAGGTAAATCATGCTGCATTTTCCTGGGTTCCGATCAAATCTCAAACAAAACAATGGCTGAATTGAAATTTAAATGACAAGCTTCCAAAGAACAAAGGAGACAAAGGAAATCAGAAATATTACTGATTTCAGAGATAGCACTTCAGCCTCTGGGTCACTGCTGAGCAAATGCCATAACATTGTTAATGGGTGGGAGTAAACACGTTATAATTGTAGTCCTGGCTGAGAGCAACTTGGAAGTTTTATACCTGTTTTTCTTGTAGTTTGTTGTGTATAGGATTCTTTACTTGCTGCTCTGTGCACTTTTGCACTGATACATCACTCACATTTTTCGTTGCAGAGAGGATTATTTTATGTTAGCAGTCCACTGAAGTAGTTGTGAAGGTGGGAATTGGTTTGTAAGACATTAAAAAATATAGTGGAAGGTACAGTCCTTTTTCCAATAAGCTTAGAAAGTCATTTCAAACAAAATCCAATAATAGTATTAGTGAAGAGGGGAAATGAGAAGTGAAGATAGGGAGAAAATTGCAAAAAATCCTTAGAAAGGCATAAGTCAACAAGACTGTCAACAAGCTTTTGTTTCAGGGTTTATTTTCACATTCTTTTAACTTTTCTGTGTCTATATATGTGGGGGGAAGACAGCCTCTGAAACGTTTTTGGCAAAGGATATTTTTGTTATTTGCAATGTACTTTTCAAGGCTAAAATGCCTTTTAAGATAACTTTTCACAGTGGTATTTCAGTAATTTTTACATAGGGTAAGTAAAGTTGGTTGAGGTTCTTTTTTTTGCAAAACATTTTAAGAAGTACCACATGATCAGAAATAGAAGTAATTT